GAAATAGCAGGATGAATCTAGGGGTGCCGGTATCTTTTGGAATTTTTATTTGTCCTTACTGGTACTCAAAGAAGGACTACTGTAGAAATTTCCTTCTATACTAGAAAGAAGCAAAGTCTTTTCGTGGAGTGTAATAGCTTGCACATAGGAGGATTATATCATATTGCATTATATCAAACCTGTACTTACCCACTGACTTCAGGGGTTAATCAGCAAGAGAACACCAGTATTTTCAAGGGGTGGTGTGGGCATTATACCACTCTCCCCTCCAATTACTTATTGAGGCTGCAGTTACAGCGTGTGAAATGGATGGATTATAATAGACTTTCCTTCTATTGCTGCCGGGTCCTGATGCACACACTCCTCCACTTCATAACAAGCAGCTCTGGCAATTATGTGCGTCAGATTTTTGTTAAAAATGTCACACATATATCTTCTGTCCCAATATTTCCCTAATTTATCTGATACTAACTTTGCTGCTTTCATAGTTCACTCCTAACCACTCTAATTAAACTTATTGAGTGCTTCAGAGGAAGGATGTGTAGGGAATGGGAATGTTTTTTACCTTACTTCTATCTCCCAACTCTGTGAACAGCTGCTTCTTAGAAATAAACTTACCCTTTTAATTACTTGCATAAAATTTAGATGAGGTATGGCCTAGAGATATTAGTTAACTGTGTAACAGCAGATGCTTTGGGAATCTGTATTCATGGGATCCCACAGTCAAGTGGGACATGCTGGGAGGCTGTATGGTAGGAACTCAACGTAGATATCTGGGCTGCTATAGGCTTGTCAGAAGCTACAAAACCTACCCAAGGATTTGGAACTTCTCTGAGGATCAGCTTAGACCAAGCCGTACTTTGTCATGGGTAGACAGGAGGACCAAATACAAAGTATATTTTCTGGTCTCATGTCCCTTTCCTTCTGTCTTCTCAGGAAGTTCTGATGAATGTTCCACTTTCATCAACATAAGCACTGTCTCTTTGCCTCTTCCTCCCAGTCAAAGTCCCATCCCACCTGGGAATACTTCCAGAACCTCTGTGCCACCTCCATAATTGGATGCACTTCAGGTTTGCTCCCTGAGCCAGCTGCCAGCACCCTCCAGGAGCATGGGTCAGAACAGATGGGCTGTCCTGGCGTGGCAGAGCTGGGCCACAGCGTTGGACAGCACACAGGGGGCCAGCACAGCCCTCAGTTCCCAATTAGACATTACTAAAATACATGGTGACAAGACATATTAGTACTTTGATAGATAAACTATTATGAGAGGGAAAAAAGATTAGCCAAAGATGGGAAGTAGGGAGAAGAAAAACCTTTCACTTCGAAATGTTAAGTCCAAAGCAGAAATAATGTATTTCAATGATCATATATCCCAGTTTAAAGCTAATGTATCCTCCATGAAAGACTTGGGGCTTAACGCTGAGCTACATTATTTCATATTCTTTGACATAATAAAATACATATCTTTATGTATGGCTGTAAAACTGCATTATTTTTAAAAGTTGTTTCATTGAAGTGGTTGACCCCTTTATGATTCGTGCATACATTTCTTATACAAAAATAGAAAAACTGACTGTAAACCACTTTATGTTAAAGTACATACTCATTTAAATATTATAAAGTAGATGATTAGAGACCACTATATGATATTTGAGGTTGTAGAGATAAAGAAATGGTTCATAAAAAAAAAAAAATCTGAACCTTCTACTTAGAATTCCCCTGTTATTTGTTTTCACTTAAATTTGATTTTCTTGTTTTTAATTTTATACACCTGGGTTTTAAAATGTTCAGCAATTATCTGATTTGTAGCTACAACTGTAACATGTTTACTTGTAAAATGTCTTGCAAATTAAGATCATTATTCGTTCTTTTAGATGTTCTCTTAACTTTGCAGCTGAACATTACAGAAGCAGTATTTTTTACATTCCAAATGGCTCTAATGCCAAAGCATTTTGCTGATTTAATGGCTGGTTTTGCAGGATAGAAAAATACTAATAATTCTCAGCAAGCAGAAAATCAACAGCTATCATTTTTCAAATGGGATTTCTATAGCTCTGTCAAGTGTCCCATATTGTAAAAAGGAAAGGCAATTCAATCCTGTGTTTTATTTTGTCTCCAGATACAGGATCTTGATTCACCCTTTCTTTGGAACCCAAAATGCCAAATAATGCAGAGTTCTAAGGTGGCTGAGAGCCTTAAACACAAGACTTAGTGTCAGGAGTGTCTGAATCAATTGGGCCCAACTATTCAATAACATATTCAATGCTTAAGAGCTACTACCACATTTACATGCCTTCCATCAATGTCCAGGGATAAGGCATCCTCTGCTTCTCTGAGACACCAGCTCCAGTGCCTCACGACCCTCACAGTAACTAATTTCTTCCTAATATCCAATCTAACCCTATAGTCTGTCAGTTTAAAGCCATTTCACCTGGTCTTATCGCCACAGGCCCTTGTAGAAAATCCCTCTCCAGCTTTCTTGCAGGCCCCTTTTAGATGCTGAAAGGATATAATCTCAGCTGTCTCTTTCCAAGTTTCTTCTTTCCTTGCCCACAAGCAAGGAAAAAATGGGCTTATGCCCAAAATTTCAGGACAGCCAATACAGTGGAAAATCTCTGTAAAAGTAGATGAGTACCTTCTCCTGGCTTGATTAGCTAAGTAGGTTCCTGATCTGCATCCTCCTCTCTTTATTTCCTCCCTCTTTGGGAGTTTGGCATTGGACAAGTGCTTGAACAAGTGCTTTGAGATGAGGAACACATTTACCTTCTCCCTGATGTTCACAATCTGACTGGGGTGCTGTGCACACACCTAACAGCACCACTCACGGCTCACCACTTTGGGTGCAAGAGGACCATGGCCATCAGTCGTGTGTGTGCTGGGAGTCCCAGAATTCCAGCTGCCAAGTCTTTTGGCGAGTGTGGTTTTGTTGCTGTTTGCATGGTGACAGTGAGCTGACCGCTAGTTTGGGTGTACCTGCACATGCAGCTGTTGCACCTCTGGATGGCAGTGTACACATTGGTGCAGGGATAGGGACACGGCATGATGCACATCTGAGCCACAGCTGAAAGCACAAAAGTGAGAGCTGTTTGAGCATGAGCTAGATGTGAGCATATCTGCGTGCACAGAGGACATTTTGTAATCCACAGTAAAAAGCAACAGTTAGGTAAAGTAATTTAAGCACAAATTCCCAGCATCTTAATTTTTCACTCAAGCTTACTTCTGGGTACTTAGGGTGTGATTGTCATTCACTGCACACAGCAGCCACCGTGGCTACTCTGAAAGCAGCACTGAGTAAGGAACGTGTGCACATTACCAGAGTTTCAATGTGGTTGGAGCCCTCACGCCAGAGCCAAAAGGGATCACACAGGCATTTTTCAATACCTGAATAACTGCACATTGAACTCCTCCTGTGACTGTTTAATTCCCAGGGGAAGCTGCAAAGTTACAGTGAACTCAGTACTGCAACAGTTTTGGTTTAGAGAAAGATAATTGGGAATCTTCTGCCTTTTTCTGAATCAAAAAATTTTGAAAGGGGGCTACTATTGAAGAACAGTGGAAATGCTCAGCCAAATCTCAGAGTGCATCCCCCAGTGATCTGCCCCGCTCCGATGTCAGCACAGACCTGCAAGCTCAGCTTAGCCAACGTGCTAAGATGAGGGACAGACTGCTGTATATTATGGCTGTGTCACAGCAATCTGGTAATGTGGAAAGCAGTCAGGACTGGTGAAAATGACCCACATTCCTTTCTCAATTCCCTTGGGTGCCTAGGGGGGTGTTTTGTTTTTTTTTTTCTGACACCTGTATCAGGTATTGTGCAGCCCTGATGATTTTTTTTCCAAACAAATCTTATCTGTGATTCTCAGAGGTTTTTAAAAGGTCAAGGACAAGGCAGTGAATTCCCTGGAGACTGACAGCGGGGTCCTCACACAACATCTAACTGCAATGACTCCTCAGAGGAAACAAGAGTGATGGCCTGAAGAAAACATATGGGAGACCACACTTTATGTTGCACTTTCTGTGTTTTGCAGGACAGCTGGAGAGGCCAAGAAAGCTTCAATACACCAAACAGACACGGTGGAGGAGAATGAGGGACAGGCAAAGACAAGACGGTCTTGCCCAGAAGGTCTCCTATAACTGTGGACACTTCACCAGGTGTCTTAGCCTGACTCCCACACATTTGCCTATTCTAGAAACAAAGGCAGTGAAATGCTCGGCACAATCAGACATACATTGAAAAAAAAAATCCTCTGCTTTTAAATAGTGTTCCTAGTGTAGATTGATGAAATGATCTGTACTCCCCCACCACACCACCTTCTGACATCCATCCATTGGCTTGACAAAGCAGGTAGTCACACACACTCCACATGAATGCACCCGTGGCCAGGTTGCCTTGGAAACCTTCACTGCTACCTAATATTGTTATAATTGGCAAGAAAATATAGGTTTTCTCCAATGATTCGCAGCATGTTTCCATTTTACATAAATGCAAGCTTTCCATCTGCAGTTTTCTGAAGGTTTGCTTTGCTTTCTTCCAAGAAATTTTAGAGACATTTCCTCCCCAGAAAAATTAAACTGTTGTTTAAATGTTAGAAATGCTGTCATGTCAGCACAGGGGGCCAGACAGCAATTCCAGCTTCCCTGTCTGTCAAGAGGGACTTCTAACATTGAGGAAAAGGAGCCCTGCAGTTCTCTCTACTGCGTTTAATTCCTTGCACAGCTCTGGAGTTAGAACAGGTCGGCCCAAGTGCTCCCATGCAACCTTGCTCAGGCTGCATGCTCTCCACATCACCATCTACTATCTACCTGGTTCAGCACAATTACTAGAAACCCTGAGTAGATTTTAATATCTGAATACTTCCAGTGCAGACTAGGACTGTTACAGGATGTTTGTTCTCACCCAACACAGAGTCTCAAGGGAGTGTCTGGAGAAGAACCTTAGATGTTCACCTAAAGGAGGGCTACATAAAAGCTACAGGTGTGTCCACATTGCATCTACTTACCAAAAAGAGATAAATGAACTCCTGGTACTGTGATGCAGACAGACCCTAATTTCTGAGCTCCTTTGGAGAGCAGCAGCCTTCGGCTACTTCTCCAGCCCAAAGCCCAGCTTGTGGCAGATGGGAACGGCAAATTCTGATTGTCCGATGAGCAGTTTTGCCTAGAAAAGAGACAGGCAAAAATCAAACATTCTGGAGCACTGCGTGTCAATGGGTTCAAAAAGAAATGTCTGGAGGCGGCACTCAAAAAGGGTACAACCTAAGGTAACAGCCTCCAAATGAACAACCCAAAACACTTGGTAGTCATTGAACACAATGTCTTAAGTCCAGCTGAAATGAAATTTTCCTTGGAAAAGAAAAAATGAACTATTTCTAGCTAGCCCAGACCAAATGCTGTGCCACTCCATGGTCACTGCAATACCCAATTTCACCATGGTATAATTCTTTGAGTTTGAAGCCCCACAGCCCCTTAAAAAGCTCCTCCAAAAGAAGCTTGGTGACCTCCAGGCAAGTCCTGGGGCTTGTGTAGGTGCTTATCTTCAGCTGCAGGAGGCACCCTTTCCCAGGGCTGCTGCCTTAGCCAGGCATACAGCCCAAGCAGTGGCTGCCACAGCAGAGCCAGCAGAGCCCTGGGGTCTCCTCACCCTGTCGTCCTGCTTTGGAAGAAATAGTGAACCCAATTTTAGCTGATAACAAGTTACATGAGGGAGAGAGTTTTGATAAAACTAAAACAATGTAGATCTCTGACTTTCGACTTTACATTGGCAAGTTAAATCTGTAGTAAATCAACTGTAGCAAGACCAGAGAGTATGGCTTTCCCATGTATTTTAGGGGAAAAGACAGGAGTTTCTTTCCTGTGCCTGTGTGGTACAGCTGTTCTGTGTTTTTGGTTACAGCCTCAAACAAATCTCTTGAAACTGAAATGATGGTTTTTAAATGTAAAAGCATTGACTTGTATTTTAGCTAAAAAACCCCAAAAGCTCAAACCAATTCAATTCAACATTTTTAAGATTACATCTGCATGGTTTTTGGACAACATGGTTTGAGCAAATGTGTGCTTTAGTCAAATGCAATTAAGTGTCTCAATTCAAGCTTCCCCTGACATTTTTTTCCATCTACCTGCACCAAGGCAGTTACGTTTAGCAGATGCAGTGCTTACCTTAACTCTATTCAAATGAGTTTCAGACTTATGTTCCAAAAAGAACCCAAAGCCTAATTTTTAAATGCTCAACATACACATTTAGAACTGTATTCTTCAAAAGATCTCAGGGCTTTTGAGGAGACATGGTAATATGGATACCAGGTTTTGAAAAGAACTAAAAACTATCAGTGAGATACTCAGTTTCCAGCATTTTCACTCTTCAAAGCACCTGAGTATTTGAATTCCAGATCAGCACTGGTGAATTTGGCAAATCTGCCTTGAAAACTTTGGTTTTGGTCAAACAGAGCTGCTGCAGAACAAAATCAGTTAAACTAGGGGATCTGCATTTGAGATCATGGGAAATTTAGCAAGAAGGACAGATAATAAAATGAACAAAGTAAAGGTTAATAACTCACTAGGTGTCACTCAGTACTCATCCTCTCTAAATATCACCCTATTTATTAGGGTGTCTGCCTAATCCTTCAAAGTCAACATCACATATCCATGTATGTGCTATTCTTGCAAATGCTCTATAGTCAGCCCACGCAGGTTGAAATAAAAGCAATCTAAATGTACCATCATGTAAAACTTGCACAATTCTTGGCAAAACACCTCTTTGGTTCACCCTGCTTTTAATTTTGATAAATCTCCAAGATTCAAAACTTTGCAAGGAGGTAAAAAAACCTCAAAAGGTAAAACACCACAGGTGAGAGTTCCCAGGCTTATGAGACTGGAAATTAAACTCTTCTGTGGAGAAATAGGGCACTGCCCCAAATTTATTTACTAGGAGTTTTTTTTAGACAGAAGGGCTCCTAAATCAAAATCTTCTTTAACACAGACCACCAGAAGCTGAATTAAAGCCTAATTCTCCAACCCTAACAGGCTTTTCTAACAGCATCTGATCCAAGGGCACAGTCACATGATACTTCAAAACATTTTGTACCAGATGTTATATTTGCAATTTTTAAGACTAAAGCAACATGATTCTTTTCACATGGAAGACTTCTAGATTTGCCTTTTATGAATTTTACAAAATTTCTTGGAAATTTTTTGTGCTGTGAAAATCAGCACCAAAAAAAAAAAAAAAATCAGTTTTCTTGTAATCTCAGACACTAGTCTTAACATTCTTATTCATTTGAAGTACTGAAGAACTGGTCTTGTAAAACCTGAAAGAAATCATGACGGTGGGGACGTATTTTCTCCTGCTGAAAATGTTAATGCTTGATTTATCAGTGAATTTCTCTTATACTTCTATGGCTTTTCTTGGAGTTGCTGCATTGTTATTTAGGGGAATGGAATTTTTTTTCTTCAACTCTCATTCTGTGCTGTTACTCTTTACCTTTCTGATCAGAGCAAAATGCTGGGCAGATGATACGCAGCAGAGGGAAAACATTCTGATGGACCAGCTGTTTCCTTAAACAATATTGTTTTAGGAAACATTCCAGTTCAGACAGAAGAGAAACCATCTGACATGGAATAAAATACTGAGCTTTTTATTACTGCCTTTTTTGGGGTCTCAATTTCCTATTTTGTTCCTACTTTTATATGACAGCCTGTCATTTTGAGTCCAGCATCTCATAATATATGCAACATATTTTTATTTATTGTTCTCCTTCAACACAATAATCATATGAGCAATTCCAGTGTGGCTGTTTCACTAGTCTCCATCTAAAGTGGTACTCAGCAAACAAAAGTAGCCATTTCAGTGAGAGGGCATATGGGAAGCAGGGTTCTTGTCCTGACCTGTTGTAAACAGCTAGAGAAATGTCCTGTTACACTCACAAATACCATAACAGGGATTAGAACTGCAAAAATACAAAGATGTAGTGCACCCCCCTTTCCCCTTTTTTTGTAGTAAAAGCTGTCAAAGTGCTAACCTGGGCTGGCTGTGTGCCGCAGTGATTTCAGCAGAAAAGCAGAGCCCGGCTGCAGCAGGTTCTGCAGGATAGGAAGCAGAGGAAGGTTTGATGCTCAGCAGATGGCACAGGTGGGCATCGTGCCAGCCCAGAGGCACTACCTGGTGTGCTTACGAGATCACTTGCTGCATTTGTTATCGAGCTGGGAGTGAGAGACAGCTTTGTTTTACTCTCCTTTCTCTTCCCTCTTTATGTGATTTTGCTTTTAGCCACCAGACAACAGCAGTACTCTTCTCCGGAGTGTGAAAGATTCAGCAATAAAAGGAGCCTAGGAAAAACAAAAAAAAAAAAAGAGGAGGAATCTGTTGTTTTTCTCTAACAACTGGTCAGCTCAAACCTCCAACCTCTCAGCCTCCTGTGAATGCTAATAACTCTGTTTACTCAGAGCCAGACCACAGTGGGGCTTTTGGACCACAGACTGGGCTGGCATCGTGTAAGCGTGTAAAGAAGCAATATTTATCATTGTCATGATTTTGTTGCTTTCCCCCACACTTGTAAGAGTTTATAACAAGCAACTCTGAGGCAGCACAGCTGGCCTGCAAGATGTCTCTGCATGAGTGAAGGAATGGCTCTGTTCAAAGAGCAGGCACGAGTTATTTCTCCCAATCTATAAATAAGTGCCAGGGTAATGAAAAAATAGCATTTACCCTTGCACCTTCTCCCTTTGTTTTGTCTCAGGACTTTGCCTTCCTGTATGTTCCATGGTGCAGACCTGGGGCACATTCTCAGGGCAATGTGGTCTCAATGGCAGAGAAGCGAGGCAGGGTTCTTTTTTTCCATCTATATATTTGGGCCTTCCCAAAATGGGGCTGAACATAAGGCTGGACATTTATTCTACCAACACGTCAGCCAACACGTAGGGCTCTACTATCTGCAGTCAACTAGTCACTGAAAAATCTCTTGTGCGCACTTCGAAAATGAGGAATTCTTGGAAAACCACCAATAAAAGTCCTTATAGATTTCTTGGGTGAGTGTGATGTGAATTTTAGAGATGACACAACTGACATCCATCACCCCCAGACTGAATATGTGGAGAAAAAGTAAGTAAATCTTTTCTCCTCCCCATTGAGGTGGTTCAATGTAGCATTTTTCTCTACCCTTTTTGTCAGCCATAATGTAGGACACCAACAAAACCACATTCTACTCCAATACAGCTCAGCAAGAGTAAATCTTTTCTCTTGGGAAAGTTTGCAGCAAAGCAATAGAGAATTTCAGGGCAAGTCTAAGCTAAATTGACTCAAGCTGCTTCAGAGACGTTTACCTAAATCACCCTTCTTGTAGTGCAGGCACAACTATCCTTCATTTTCAAAAGCACTAAAAAGAAAACAGAACCTTTGAAATCATTTCTTCACAAATAAAGAGATGTTGGAAAGCAAACTCAAGTTAACCACTTGAAAAATACTTTCCTAGTACTATAATTCAAAATAACAAGGAAAGAAAGGAAAAGGAAAGAAAAAGGTTTTACATTAAATTGCATTAACCAATAATCTAATAATCAGCTAACTGCATTCTTTGTGAAAAAACCCTGCTATATAATGGCAGCCCACATGCAGAAGCTTGATACTTTGTAGTAACTGGGTCTTTGCCCTCTCATTATAAAATAAAACATACAGTATTTTAATGTAAAGGATAATGTCAGGTTTGATAACTTGAGGTAATTAGTAGCTGTGTTTTAATACTGTGACAGCATCATTCAGGTTTCCGTTCTTGATGAAAAGTAAATTCTTTTTGTCACACAAGGAAATACACATTGTTTCAAGATTTTTGTAACAAAAATGGTACAGACATTAAGTCAGAGGCATGAAAGATTATTCATGTTCAAGTTTAAAATCAGGCACATCCAAAATATTATCTTTCAATTTGCATTTCTTTTGATCCGCTAGACTTGAGCTGCAACAAGAGAGGAAATTAAGTCAAAGACAATTTCCCTTCCAATTAAACTCTAGTAGAGGCAGGAGGATTAACCCTCTCCCCTGTTCTGGTCAGGCTGTGTGCCCTGCAGCTCCTGGGGGAAACACTGGGGGGTGGCGAATCACCATACAGGCTTATGGGGAGGGTGTCTCTCCCATGGCAGCTGGATACAGGTCACCAATGATGAATTTCTCTGGAGCAGCATGGGATACTCCTTGGCCTGGCATACAACCATCAGAATGCCCCCCACATACAGCAGTGGGACATGGAAAGTTATCCCAGAGCTCAGTTATTGTGAGCTTCACTCTGAGCTATTCTGAAGGGGGAATCAGAGATAAGGGGAAAGGAACCTCTTCAACTGTGTCCCTCTGGGTGGGAGCTTTTGGTGCATCTGCTAGTGCCAGCAGGTTGTGGGATAAGAAACTCTGAGTCTTCTCTTCATCCCCCCTATAGCAACCAGACTCGGTGCATCATCTATTATCTGATTTAACTGATTTGGGGATGTAGGACTTGAAGATGGGGACAGTTTATTGACAGAGACCTCTGTGTAGTGTGTGACAGTGTATACCATACTCATCTTTAAAAAAAAACAACAACATGGTCTTCTGTTAAACAAGAAGGAGTTAAGCTGTCTATGCAGCTGATGCATGGTAGGATTTAAAACTGTAGGCAGTAAAACCCACATCATTCATATCTCTATGTGCATTAGGATTTAAATAAGGATGCCAAAAATGAAAATGCAGCATACTGAAGAAGGGAAGAACACATTTCCTAATATAGATAAATTTTCCCATTTCTGGAAGAAATTGGGAGAATTAGCAGCACCTGCAAAGGCAAAAAACAAGAAGAGTAAAAGAATCATAGATAATTAATACTTCGAAGGAAAAGACATCTTTTATGGAAAATCATAATGGGCCAGAAATTCAGCTGCTGTACATTTGCTGATTTACATCAGCTGAGAAATGTGTTCCAGTATGATTTAACATTCTTCTTATGTTACCTGGGAGATGAGTGATTCAAAACACAGAGAGAACTTGACATGCATTATCTGTCATCTTTTGTTGATTAATAATTTCAGATGTTGCTGCTATTATTTAATATAGACAGTCATTACACAGTAAGTTAAAATACAACAAAACATTAAATGCAGTGAAGCACTTAAGCATAATCTCTTAAAACCCCAAGTAGATGCCGCAAATAAATTTTAAAGTTCATTTAGGGGAGCTGAAGTTGTAACAATGAAATTATCAAACTACCTCAGGTTCCAGGCTGCTTCTAGGATACCTACTGGACACGGCAGAGTTTCCAATTTTGCTCTCACTGATCACCCTGAAACACTCTGCTGGGGTGAGAACATCCTATTATGTTCTTACTCTTTAGGTGGAACAGCGTGTTTCTGGCCATGGTTTTCTAAGTGTCTGTGTTTGCGTGGTTGCACTTTGCCTGTCCGAAAGGTTCCTCTTAACAGCATTTGAGTTGCTTGACTGGTTTCAACTGAGTTGGAAGGGAGGATAGAAATCTCACAGATGAATTAGAGTAAACTGCAATAATTGGGGATAAGTGGAAGAGTTCAGCAATCTCCCACGCCATGTGTCCAGCCAAGCAACTGAGCAGCCCACTGGGCAGCTCAGCATGTGCCTCAAAGTGCGCCGTCTCCTTCCTGGGCAACCATTTGCAGAGAGATGGAATTAGAGACAGAAAGCTGAGGACAGGGAAAAAGGGAGGCAGGGAGATGAGGACCAGTTGGAACAAGTGTGGGGAGGAGAGTGAGAGGTGATGAGTAAGACCCCCTTCAGCACTGAGAAGCCATAAGAGACTTGCAAATAAAGAAACTAAGGAATGGGTTTTGAGAAAAACATATCAAATTAACTGGAAATGTTCTTCTCTACGTCATTTTCCTTAGCAGGACAGCAGTCTGCAAGAGACAGCTACAGGATGGCCAAATTTGCTTAGGTTATCCAAACTTTAGTGCCATGGTAACTGCTGGAAAATTAGCATCCAGCCTTGCATTGCTTTTGCATTGTGAAACAACCACACCCCACATCACTGAAGATCTCTACAATGTGTACTTCAATCTCGTGAGAACCAATAATACCAAAAAATAGTTATGATTGGATGATGAAGCAAATGCACAGGAGAAAACAGGATTGTGTTTGCACGTGTAATAGGCATGTGGCTCCCCGTACCAGTCCAGCTTTCCAAGTGATGATTTCCACATCCTTCAGATCCCTTTGGGTTGTGGTAAAAAAGGATCATCTTTGATTTTAAAGGTAAGATTAAAACATGAGCCATTAATGAACTGAATGAAATTCTGCAGTGGTACTTTGTGGTACAGTAAGACCAGGATACACACTTTTATTTCTGGAATAATGCAGACTCATTCCAGTGCTGTTTAGAGTGGGTCACCTTTTCCTGCTGTGACCTAACAGCCAGCATCTTTGACAGCTGAAAATTAGTTCAAAAGAAAGAGAGCAAAAGCTTTGAGAGCACCCAAAAAAAGGGAATCACCTAGAAGTGCTCAGCCTATTGCCCATCCAACTGAGGCTCGTGTATACAACAGATTGCAATACAAGTGCATGTACCAATAAGTATAAAAAACAATGTATTAAAATCAGTGTAACCAAACAATCACATTTTCCTGCTTTCTGAGCTGAACTATGAAGTCCCAGTTGAATTTAGGAAAGACGGAGCTCTGGCCATAGGAAGAAGACTTCTATTTACCCTAAAGTATAACATTAAAGGGTTTTGGGAGAAACTAAATGGTTGCAAGCCTTTCTCCTTCCCCATTAAGTGTGCTAGACAGTGACACAAACAGTGTCTGATACCAGTGCAGATATTTAGTGTGGTTTACAGCAGATTTGAAAAAATCGGAGGCTACCTGGGATCTAATTCCTGCACAAAAAGCAATGCCTGCCTTAGCCAGCAGGAAAAGCTGAATGCAAAAATAATTAGGGATAACATAAAATAGCTTCTACCTGTGAACAGCAGGAAAACATGTACTGCAAGTAGAGCTGCGCGACTAATTGATTTTAGGGGTTTGTTGGCAGTCTGAAAACCAAACATACCCAACGGTAGGTTTTTGAGTTAACAGAGCTAATGTATCCTATGACAGTAGGCTCCACTATGTGGCTTCCCCAAAGTCTAGTACAGCATGAATTTGGAAGCCCTTCCCTCAGCAGGATAATTGTTTTCCATTCGGACATTTATTTTCGTAAAATTTACAGGAGCACCCGTGAGACTTTTGGGTTGCATCCAGGCACTGGGTATAATTGTAATTAAGGGGGGGGGGGGGCAGACACAGGCATATACGCACACAAATATGTGACAAGATGGGGCAACAAATGCTACTTTC